CGCCAAATCTGCTATATAGACTAATTATGCAATGTAAATAATTATGCAATCGATCCACCATTTGCGCCTAATACATCATTGATCCATTCTTAATCGTTACAATATGTATTATAAGTATATTATAGAACTAGTATAGATACGTATATTGTAAATATATTATAATACGTATATATATTTAAACTATAAATAAATAATTTATAGTGTATATCATGAGTATATTGTGGGAGTATCGTGGGAGTATCGTGGGTGTAAGCATGGGTTAAATTATAATAGAATATTAACAAAACAATAAAATTATTGTAGGTGTATCGTGAGAATAGCATGAGATATTTTTTTGAATAGCGAAATTATATATAGTAAAATATATGTATATTTGTAAGTATTAAATTTAAAAATAAAATATTTATAATAAATTTTTTTTTATGTTTTTATGTAATCAATTTAAAATAATCGAATTATTTTTATTTATGCAATCTAAATTTAAAACAATAACAATAAAATTCTTTGTTTTTAATAATTAAATTTAAAACAATAGTGATAAACCCCCCTTTTCAATAATTAAAATTTTGAAACAATAGCAATAAATTTGTATTTTTATATAATTAAAATTAAAACAATTAACAATATATATATATAGAAATTAATTTTAGATGATAAATAATATTATTTTATTCAACTAATTATATATTTCAATATTTTTATTTTTAAACAACTTTAATTCGAAAATATTTTAAGCTAATTATAGTAAAAAAAAAAATAATGTCTCTATTTTTTAAATAGTAAAAGAATTATATTTTTATTTTTACGAAACAAAAAAATATATATAATAGTTAATTATTGTTAATTTTTTTATTAGCTTTTATTAAAGTAAAAAATAATTTATTACTTTACGATAAAAATAGTAATTAGATAGCTGTGCAACATTCAGGACCAGTTCAATCGCGCATATCTTTTCTGATAAATCAGGGCAAAGAGAGTATTGTCATTATATTAATTTTCACTTACCAATTATTTAGACATCATCTATGTTCATATGTCTGATTAATTTGGTAAGTGCAAATTTACATGAGTGGTAGCTCTAGAAAATGTGTATTGAGATCAGATGATCGTCCAGAAAGCTATAACATTCGGAACTAGAAACAAAAATTACTGGTACATATTTACATACGTACGTTGTCTAGCTAATAAAATAGTATATAGTTATTAGATGCGAAGAAGCCAATAAAATTATTTATTGTCATTAATTTATCATTATTTATTAAATTATAATAATCAATAGTATATTTTGTTTGTTTTTTTTTTCTTGTAAAAAATAAAAGTGATGCAATATTTGTTATAAATATGTATTTTATATTATAGGCTTTATTTTGTTAATCATATACAAGAAACTATCAAATTAGAACTTAGCAAAACAAAAAAAAATAGAATATATCAAATCTATCTATGTTACTTCACTAAAAACTTTTATCACAAGTTGAAGCTATAATAGCCAAATGTGAAATAAGCAATGTTCATAATATTAAAAATTAGATTGGTATTTTAAATTTTAATTAATACCAATTCGGGATTTATTTAATACCTATGTAGCAACGAAGATCCAATAAGCATATATATTATATCTGTTGAAAAGTTTTCAACTTATAATTAGTAATGTTTACAATAATAGCCAACTTCTTGTCAACATTGAATATTTCAAGAAGGATACGAAAATCTGAATCTCTATCAATAAACAAGTTAGCGTCTTATTTATTTCGCCAATTTCATCAGTCACTGAATATTTAAAAAGAAAATATTAATTAATTTGAAATTTGGGCATAAAGAATGATTGTAAAAAGAGTACATAAATTATCAAAGAAAACAAACCAATAGTTAAAAGAAATAAATTATTATAATGTCGAAATTTGTATTATTCTATGTATTAGTTATGTGTTATTAAATTGTATTAAATATTGTTTTATATTATTGCTATAATTGACAAATAAAGTCTTAGTAAAAGAAAAAAAAAATGTAAAAATTTTAAAACATTTTCTGGACTATCATCCGAACCCAACCCAGTATACATTTTCTGGTTGCATTGCTGAAAAGCTACAAGCCACTAAGTAATGAAAAAATCAGGTTTGTATCAATTCAGGTTTGGGGCAGTGTCAAAGCTTAGCCAGAGAAGACAAAACTTTAATAGCATTGCATAGTGTGTTGGGCTTGGGCTTAGATTAGAAAAGTTCTTTTTTTTCTTTTGTCCTCTTTTATATATAAAATTTATTATAAATATGGGTTCTTTTTGCCCTCTAATAAAAAAAAAAAAGTGAATATTTTAGATAAAAATATATTTAGTTGTTTCTTTGAACCAAATCAAAACTGCTTCTGACCTTTGGGTATATCATGTGGGTTGGTTGTTGTTTTGGTATTGCTGACTAGTTGTGGCCAACAATACATACTAATACATATATACTATGATAAATAAATCAATTACAATTATATAATAAGTAAGTAATTATATAAATCTATATCAGATATAACATCAGTTATTAGTGCATACATACATACATGCATTTCATTGTTTGTTTATATATGTGTATATATACATGCATACATATATAATTGTTAAATTGTATATATATTTATTTATATACTCTTATTGTATATGTACATAGATAAATTTTTTAATTATAAAAGAAGAGTTTTGATTTTTTTTACTTCAAATTTCTAAAAAATGTAGAACACTATGCAACTTCAAATGCTAATAGATGAACGTAAAAAAAATAATGCAGACTTTCATGAAATGTCTACAAGTCAAAAAACATTATTTTGGGACAGTGTTGCAACAAAAATTAATTTCGAATATGGTACATTTTTTAGAGAACAAAATTGCAAAGAGAAATTTAAATTGTTAGTCAAAGAGTATAAGGTAAATATTATATTTTAATATAGATATTAAAGTATAATTATATATCTTATTAATTAATATAATTATTAATTAGAATATGCAGCTGTATATTGATAGCAATCCCCATGGAAAATCTACTAAAAATGGACGAAAATTTTATCATAAGTTTAAAACACATTTTTGGGAAAAACTAAGTATGTGTTTTTTATATTTATTTATTTGTTTGTTTATATGCATACATTAAATTGTTTATTAAAATAATTTAATTTGTTTTTAATATAGGTAATGAATTTGATCAATTACATATGCAGAATATGGCTGCAAATTCAAGTGAAAATGAATCGCCTTCATATGTAACAAATAATGAAGTTTATCAAACTTCTTCTGCTCCAACCTATCACGATAGTAATAGTAATAATGATGAAACTAGTAATAGTACATTAGCAAATAGTGAAGAAAATTAGTTTAGTAATATCTAATTATTTTTGTTATGTAAAACAAAATATAATAATAATTGTTTTATTACGTAATAAACCTGATTTTAAAAAATATACCAGGCATAATTAATATGATAATATTGGTCCACATGGGTTACTAATTTCCCCACCACTTCCTATTGGACGAATACAAATATCATTTTCCATTGGGTGAAACCAATTACAGCATTGATCGGGGTGGCTAAAACATCTAATGCATCGCAATTAAAGAATAAATTACTTCTTTTCACAATGATTACATTAATTAAAAATTTTTTTTTCTTTTAAAAAATAATTATTTTCAACGTTTTGCTCTTTTGGGTTTTAGCACTTTCAAGTTTTAGTAATAATTTCGTATGTTTAAATAAATTTTTGCCAAAAAATTTTTATTATATCCACTTTTTTAAATTATACTACTATACGAAAATTCGAAAACAAAATAAGTATTAATTTTTTTTTTGCTTTGCTTTGTTTTTATTTTATTTTATTTAGCAACTTAGCAGTGAGTGATTTTAGCCATTGTTGATTGAAGCGATCTATTATATTGATCGATTGTTACTAGGTGGTGTTGTGCTTTCAAATAAAGAAAATTGGAAAGTTCGACAGAAGGGTTTTTGAATAGAATCTCAATAATTTTGTTTGCAATTTGGCTAAATTTATCAAAGAAAAATTCATAACCATGAATTATTTTATTATTTGTTGAGTTGTTTTCCAGTTTTGCCGTAGTATTCTGTTGAATTTCTTTACAGTTAGTAGAAAGTTTCTCCGTTGCTTCTTCATTTTGGGAAATACCAGCATCATTTGTCAATTCTGAATTATCGTTTTCATATTTAATATCAGATGTTTCAATAACATCTATTTTTAGTATTACTAATTAGCAAACTAGCATCTATTTAAATATTGCCTGGGTTACTGTACGATTTCCAAAAGCTATTTTCCCAAAAGAACTTAATACTGACTAATTATTTTTTTCTTTTGGGAAAATGGCTTTTGAAAACTTGGGTACATTATTGTATTAGTATTTAAAAATAAAAAATCTATTAATTAGCAATTTGCAGTAGCATTCTATTTATTTGCAGTATTGTAACAGTATCAATAAAATGAATTTAAAATATT